TGTAGAAGTAATTTATTTTGGAATGGATATATAAATGAATAGCAGTATATCAATATTTAACCGTAGCAAACATTTGTAATTTGTCACCAAACGACTGTAGTAACTGTTTAAAACCACATCGATTCTAATTTATTTACCTGACAGATTGGACAAATTGGATAATCCTGTGTTTATGTGTCGTCACCACTAATACCACAGATTTGTTGTGATAGAATTATTCCCAAACTCTATGTCAATTTTATAAATCCTCAACGTACATGTAAGTATGGGTATATCTTCACAATACTTAGACAGTAGGATTAGACAAACTTTGGACTGCCTTTGATGATTAGAGATCCTCTGTGTCAATGTTGTTATAACACTACCACGCTAGAGACAGGGAAGCTCCGAAACAGGTGGAAATGTCAACCCAAGTAGACAAGTTACATGTACACATAGTAAACAGTCTATAATATAGAGTGAAAAAGACTTCACAATGAGATCATTGTAACAAAAAATAGACATCACAATAATGTCAGTGTAACTAGTAAATAGACATCACAATAAAGTCAGTGTAACTAGTAAATAGACATCACAATAAAGTCAGTGTAACTAGTAAATAGACATCACAATAAAGTCAGTGTAACTAGTAAATAGACATAATAGTAAATATACATCATAACTAGTCATCACAATAAAGTCAGTGTAACTAGTAAATAGTAAAGTCAGTGTAACTAGTAAATAGACATCACAATAAAGTCAGTGTAACTAGTAAATAGACATCCCATAAAGTCAGTGTAACTAGTAAATAGACATCACAATAAAGTCAGTGTAACTAGTAAATAGACATCACAATAAAGTCAGTGTAACTAGTAAATAGACATCACAATAAAGTCAGTGTAACTAGTAAATAGACATCACAATAAAGTCAGTGTAACTAGTAAATAGACATCACAATAAAGTCAGTGTAACTAGTAAATAGACATCACAATAAAGTCAGTGTAACTAGACATCACAATAAAGTCAGTGTAACTAGGAAATAGACATCACAATAAAGTCAGTGTAACTAGTAAATAGACATAATGATAAAGTCAGTGTAACTAGTAAATAGACATCACAATAAAGTCAGTGTAACTAGTAAATAGACATCACAATAAAGTCAGTGTAACTAGTAAATAGACATCACAATAAAGTCAGTGTAACTAGTAAATAGACATCCCATAAAGTCAGTGACATTTATTGTATTGGAAAATTGGGGATGGGGGAATTTAATTTCCAAACAACACAAAACTAAAATATCACAATTAATTTAGATGCATTGACTAGAAGACAGCTGTGCCATCTCAGTGGGACATCTTTATCCAGGTTTTGATATCTCCATTATTTCATAGTGAGGAATATCTTTTCACCAATGTCCCTCTTCATGACCTATTCCAAACCAATATCATATCTTGAGAACCTATCACTAGATTTAGTTCAAATTTACCCCATATTAATATATAATGTGAAGTTCGATACATTCTTATCACATTCAGATTTGTATAGGAGCAATAGAATCAATGACTTTTAGACATTTTCTAGTTTTTGATCAGTTTGACAGCTTTATTCTTAATATGCACTGCCAACTTCAACTCATTACATGGATCAGAAATAAAGGGAGGTCACTCTACACTGAATGTCTTGAGGGTTTGACATAGTAAGTACTGTAACCTAGCAGGAAAAATGTAACAGGTCATTAAAGTTGTGTAAGAAAGAACTCGGCTCAATTTCAAACATATGACATTATGATTTATGTACTTAAAGTGTGACGTTTAAAGATACAAGTTGTAACAAGTGATTTTATCATCACTTAACATGCATCTTATTTATAGCTCTGTAAATTTCCTTGTAAACAGGTATTGTCACACTCATGTATATATTTGTTATGACATTTAATGTGACGTTACATGGCAACATTGATAGATTGCAGTAGTTATAATAATATTCCTAACATTCATGTGATGTGTCACATATAGCATTCTATAAGGAAAAGACAGATAATTTGAACACCACATCAAACAGCTAACGTTCAAAGCAAATTGAAGGCAAGATTAAATTTCAATAAATATGAGATTATTGGGATGTTCATAAAACTACCAATGTTTTCAAAGAAAAATTAACATATTTATTAAAAATTAATGGTTTTTTAATCTAAATAAAAATGGTGGACGCTTAATTGATAGTAAATAAAGAGTTGTACTCATAAAAAAATGCAACAGTTGATATTTTATTCATGATCGGCGTATGATTTTGTTAATTATGAGTGATGTAAAAAACCAAAAATCAATATCCCACGAAAAGTAATGCTTGTACAATATAATATACAGATTATGATAATGACAGGTGTGTTTACCTGTAGTTAGGTATAACTGTAACACTAATAGATATGTAATGTCTACCTGAATTTTTCTACCTGTCTCACCATGATTGATGCAGATACACAAGTGATTATAAGTGTTTTTACATACGATTTTAAATATTACTGTATAAGACACCTTGTTCTACCTGTACATGATCAGCCTCATTAGCATATTTACTTGTGGGCTGTTTTAAATTTCTGTATTTTGTATCAGCATATGACTGTGTTAAGTTGTAAGATAAACTACAGAGACTTCAGGTAAGGACTAACGAAAAATATTTGATATCAACTTCAAAAGTATAAATTGTACTGGCAGAACTTTCATAGACATCTGACTGTCGTGTGTTATAAAACCGTCCGGGAAAAATAAGAAACTTTAAACTGTATTATCCCAAAAAAACACAACTGGATCAACAAATAATTAGACTTTAGAGGGTGAGCTTGTTGTAGGACGATAAAAACCTTTAACTTGATGTTTGTTTGTCGTCAGAACATCAATAGAGATGGACGGAGGGTGTTATCAAACATGGTATTCTGATTTCAAACCTCGTTATACATTGATGAATCTTACTTTCTTTAGTCAAATAATTGTATCTCTAGGTTTATTACAGTGACAACTTGACATATAAACTATTGTACTTACTTGGATCAGGTAAATGTTAAAACAGTTTTAGTAGAATTTAGACTTATTGGGTCATTGCTAGATGTACCTGTTGGTTCTGAAAACATTATCGTACTTACAACCATTTACAATTGGCAGTAAATTGTAAATGTTACTGATTTGCTAAAATTAATTTCAGTGCGCTATTACTTTTTATCGTATTTACGCCAAAATGAATTGGCACATCCTCATCAGTTGTATAAATAACATTGATACACTATAATTAATGCATTCCTATTTTAGTACAATACTATGCGTGTGAAAAGAATAAAATATATGCTTATTGGGTCCATACTGCTAAAATATGGGTGTTAACAGTATTTTGACATTAAAGCTATCAAAACTTAAGAACATTTACCATAACTGATTATAAGGCATACAAAAAAAATGAGAGTAATTCAATACGTTTTTTGAGGTTTCGAGTGATAAAGTTAAAGGGTCTGCTCGTTAGATTCTGCTCTTAGTTTTGTAGAAATTTGATACTTCTTACCTCGGTCAAGTCCAGGTAAGCAGATTCTTCAAAGGTTAATTGGAAAGTACTTATGTTTGAATTTAATCCAGGTCTCTTTGACAGATGATTCAAAATGTCATGAAGAATTTCTTTGTAATATGAGAAAGGATTCTATACATCAGAAATGTTGGATTTTGTGTTTACTGGATGTAAGAGAAATGTTCCAGAGAAATAGAAGTAAACTGTACTTTTTTGTTAGTTTACACAAAACTGTGACAATAATCACCAGCCATGATGTTACACTGTCTGTACTCATTGTGTGTACACAGTGTATTGTAGATTAAGGGAAACCATCTCCTGTATTGTTAGTTATGTAATTCAGTAACTGATCATTTTACCGTATTTATCCAACAGTACGCCCATCTCAGATAAAGTATTTTGAACAAAAATTAAGGTGACAATGGGCGGATCAGCTGTTACACTATCACAAAGCTGAGTGTTAAGCAGAGAAGTAGTTTCTTCCATTTTTAAAGACCCAGGTATGTCTCATCCAGGGAACAGGGGGTCTTCCTCACAGGGGCAAATACTCAAATTAAGGCTAAAAGTGACTCATTGTCAAGGGAGATGTTAGGAAAAAAATATTTCTTTATAAAGAAGAGAATAAATTCAGATCCAAAATTTAGTTGCCTCTGAGGATCAGAAAGCAGGTACATATCTTACTGCAGAATGCGGGATTGGTGGTCATGGAATCAGTGATTGATAGGTTTCAAATTAACAAGCTCTCTGACCCTGGAGAATTTAACAGTCTATTACAGTGGATCACCTTTAGATAAATAGTAAAATGATCTCTGATAATTTACAACACATTTCTAGTTCTGTTTCCACCTGGCCACACAAAACAAGTGTCAGCAGTTATTCACAAACTCAAGCATAATTCCCGTGTTTTATATTTTGTAAATTGAGTCACATGCTGCACCCATAAGACCAAGGCCACCTATCAAGACCGTTGTATTACAGTGTTATATGATGTAACAGTCTCCAGTCAGCTGTACATACTTCAGGCAGCATGTATTTTTGTATTCCATTGTTGCACACGTTACCAACATTTTTGACAAAGTCAGCATTTTGATTTTTTATTTTAAGTTTAAATGAAGATGTGTTCAGCATTTGTAAATTACTTTGCTTTAGATTAAAAGCTAGAATTTGAAAAATCATTAAAATATTGCCCTTAAACTTCAGTTAAGAAGTCTCTAATACAAAGGTATGGTTGTACATTGTTTAGTATGCATAATGTTAAAATGTTGATATACAGAGAAACGACATATACTTCTGATTGTAATTAGTATTTATAGGGAAATTACATTATATGCAAATTGAGTTATTTTGATTTTTTCCTTTAAAATCTAAAATGTGAGTAAGTAGAGTGAGTATAAATTACTCCGTTTCCATTGAACAACAGTGATCTACGTTTCTGCATTTGTTGTAAATTTATGTATTTTCAACTTTCACAGGGAAAACATGAAGGAGAGAAAAGGACTCATGGTAGATGTTTATGATGGACGAAGTTGGCCTGTGGTAAGTCACTTATTTTCTGTTTATTTCAGGTTCTAGGGCGATTTTCCAGATATGTATTAAATAGAAATATTTGTATTTATACAAACTGGGAAAAAAAGACATTTCAAAAGATTTTAACCATTTGCTTTCCTGAGGATTGTTAATCACAAAAGAGTTATCTCCCTTCTAACACCACAGACACTCAATGAAGCACCAATGGATGTTCCCTGTTAAGGAGATTAAAGTGCTTTAAACAATTTAATTAAGTTATAGGAATAATCAGCTCTACCTGATAAAATCAGATCATTTACTGACACTGCCTTTAACTGTTTACACTGGTTTCTGAAACTCCTAGATATTGGACAATGATGATAGAAACCACATTTTCTTGTTAATTACTTACTTGATTGTGAGTAGATGCTTAGTTAGCCCAGATCTACAGCACTGTTTGATGTGCATCACATGCATTAATTAATAACACAGGAAATATTACATTAGTGGTTAAATTAACAGATCATCCAAATTTCCAAAGGGATTGATTGGCAGAGAGGAGTTGATATGTGTTTTAGCGATGAAGTTTTGTCTGATCATGTAGACATGTAAATGAGTTAAGAAGCATGTTTCATTACAGAAATTATATAATGTATATTAACTACAGAATTGAGTTAAGCATTTTGCTTGTTACTGTAACCGTGCACTGTTTATGTGCTAATTTTATGATAAAGTGCTTCATTTTATCATGACAAGAAATATCAAGGAAGTAAAAAAATTATGTTTTTTTATCTTTTTAATATGTAGAAGTCTTATTTAGCGTAAGAGGACAAACCCTTTAAATAAAGTGTGAATACTTCAATGTGGAATATAGTTTCATTTAAGTAAAAATTACCATAACTTACGTATGCCTAGCCCCATGGGTTTTCCTTCTTGGAATCCCAAGGGGTTGGTCTCTCCCTCCAGGAGGCATTTAGGCAGTCCTGTTGAACCCCTCCCAATGTACTGTTGATTCAGGGGTCTTGTCCCCGGTCCTCCAGCGAAGTATAGATTAATTTGATGATGCAATGGACACCAGTAGGCTAGTTTTATTTTCTATTTGTGAGACTAGCAAGAAGTTAACTAGAAATGTTACAGAGACTTTCCTAACATCATCTTTATCCAGCAACACTTACTACACCCGCTGATAAGTCTAATCGTATCATTATGGTATATTACTGTGCAGGAGAATTACACACCAATTGTCCTGTGATAAACCCACTCCTGAAATTCGAATCAAGTGGAGATATTCGGCCAAGGACATTGGGAATATCTGGGATAAAAATAATAGTTTTTAGTGCAGTCAGACAATTGTTACACCAGTAAAGCTACGATAATTATGATGTTACAAATATGGACCATCAAAGGCAATTACACTCATTCTAATGGGCATTTAGATAATGGATGGCAATCTTACAGAAAAGAATGCAATTGTATTGAAATTCAAATATAAGCATTGTTTAAGTTGGATTCAGTTTCATTTGTTCGTTAATTTACTGTTGAAATTGCTTCCAGTTTTTATGGCAGCTGTTCTAATGCTTTTCATTTTTATGGCAAGATGTTTCCAATTATGTCAGGATTTTTCTGTTTGAAAATCTTTTGATGTAAGATGGCATCTAAAAGTCATTTGTTTTCATTACAGTGTTTATACACTAGTTATATGTTACAGTATAAATTTTCATTGGTTACAGAATAATTTTGCCAAGTGTTTTAAGATTTTATTTCAACTTGAAAAAACACTTAACATAGAGCACATTGTTATATCTTCTTTAATCATTTGATGAAAGATATGTTGTAACGAATCTCGATTCTTCCCCAAAGTGCGGCCCAAAAAGGTTTCAAAGATGATTCTACCGCAAAAATATCATGTTTTAGAGGATCTTAAATCAGAAGAAACACTAGTTCAAATTGACACTAAAAATTATTTGATTTTTATCGGAGTTATTTTCAAATAAGACTAGCTTACTCTAAACAGAATATTACCTACAATCAGTTTAGAGAGACTTTAAGTGTTTTACTCTGATTTAGAAATTTTCCAAAGTACAGGGTGATCAATGATGATGACAAATATAGACGATCAGATTTTTTGTGGGAATCTTTATAATCTAAATGATGCTGTACTTGTGGGGATTGAGGAGGGGGACAAAACCTTTTTTGGGGGTTTTATTCTAAATGATGCTGTACTTGTGGGGATTGAGGAGGGGGATAAAACCTTTTTTGGGTGTTTTATTCTAAATGATGCTGTACTTGTGGGGAATGAGGAGGGGGATAAAACCTTTTTTGGGTGTTTTATTCTAAATGATGCTGTACTTGTGGGGATTGAGGAGGAGTTAAAACCTTTTTTGGGGGTTTCATTCTAAATGATGCTGTACTTGTGGGGATTGAGGAGGAGTTGAAACCTTTTTTGGGGGTTTCATTCTAAATGATGCTGTACTTGTGGGGATTGAGGAGGAGTTAAAACCTTTTTTGGGGGTTTCATTCTAAATGATGCTGTACTTGTGGGGATTGAGGAGGAGTTGAAACCTTTTTTGGGGGTTTCATTCTAAATGATGCTGTACTTGTGGGGATTGAGGAGGAGTTAAAACCTTTTTTGGGGGTTTCATTCTAAATGATGCTGTAGTAGTTGGGATTGAGGAGGGGATAAAACCTTTTTTGGGTGTTTTATTCTAAATGATGCTGTACTTGTGGGGATTGAGGAGGAGTTAAAACCTTTTTTGGGGGTTTTATTCTAAATGATGCTGTAGTAGTTGGGATTGGGGAGGAGTCAGACCTGTGTGAGGTTTTCTTTTCCAAATGATGCTTTAGCGTAGGGGCTGTGGAGAGGTCAGACCTTTTTGGGGTTTTGTATTCAAAATGACTCTGTCGTTATGGGGATAGAGGAATTGGAATCGGTCTTGAAAAATGATAATTTTGTTATTACTGTAACCAAGTGACTTTGAACGGCTAACACAGGGCTACCTGTGTCTAATGTAAAAGTAGTCGAGTGTAATTGATGAGTGTACAGGTCACTTGGTCTAATTGGTACTAAATGGTTTGAAACTGTCTACTTCCTGCAGAGAAAATGATTTTAAGACATGACAAACAACTTTATAGGGCACAAAGTGTCCCTTACAGGACCACCAGGGACTATAGGGCCACAGGAACCGGCTGTAAGTACCACTCTAGTGTTGTTGGAGAAATGTTATAACCAGGCTGCTTGTAAATCAAGGTCTTGTGTACCTGGGTTCAGGTAGATTATCTCGTCAACAGGTAACACTTTATCATCATAGGTATGTGATAAATAAAGAACAGGTAAATTCTGATCAAACAGGCAGGAAAATGTCAGCTTTAGAGGAACATGGAGTGGGTTTTATGTGACCTTAGAACTTTGCTGAGTGAATTGAACATATCAAGTAGTCAAATACATATCAACTAGTCAAATTAATCCCAATGTTCAAACATGAATGGTGATAAAACGCATAGAAGCTCCTGAGTAATTAGTGTTTGATATTACATATGATGTGACCGAGGAGATCGATGATCAGTTAGCATTTTGTTTTTCGGTCTGTCTTTTTATCTGCACACAACTTTGACTCATATCTTTTCAGTACGAGATATCACATTCATATTTGGCATGTATAATCCCTGAAGATAAGACATATCATTTGATTTCAGATTTGATGATCCTGACCTTTCACCCTGACCTTTCATTAGTTTTATGGTTTCCATTGAATAATTAAGATTTTTTAATATTTGAACCAATTTTTGTGTATTGCTTTGTATCAACAAGAACTTGGATGATATTGATATTGGTCAGAATCCATCACCATTTGCCAGAGTGACAAGACTTCGAAAATATCAAAATATTGAACCAATTCTTATTGCTTTATATTAGTGAGATTTTAGATGAGTTTGATGTTGGTGTAGATCTTTCAATATTTACCAAAGCTACAGGACTTTGTTTCCTGTAACTGTAATTTTTTTCATTAAGATTAGAATCAGATTTGGTATGTTGTTTTGAATCAAGAAGATCTCATATGAGTTCCATATTGGTAAAAATTGATCAACATTTGCCAGAGCTTCATGACTTAAGAAAAAGGGAGACAACTGTTACTGTATATCTAGGGAGATAACTGTTTGTCTAGGGAGATAGTATATCAGGAAATTATTTTGTACGTCCAAAAGAAAAATTCATATTTTGGAAGACAAGTGTATGTCAAGGGAGATAACTGTATGTCAAGGGAGATAACTGTATGTCTAGGGAGACAGCTGTATATCTTTGGAGATAATGGTATGTGTGTAAAAAGAACTGTATGTCTAGGGAGATAACTGAATATCAAGGAAGACAACTGTATGTCTAGGGAGACAGCCATATATCTTTGGAGATAATGGTATGTCTATGAAAAGAACTGTATGTCAAGGGAGATAACTGTATATCTAGTGAGACAGCTGTATATCTTTGGAGATAATGGTATGTCTGTGAAAAGAACTGTATGTCTAGGGAGATAACTGAATGTCAGGGGAGACAACTGTATGTCTAGGGAGACAGCTATATATCTTTGGAGATAATGGTATGTCTATGAAAAGAACTGTATGTCAAGGGAGATAACTGTATATCTAGTGAGACAGCTGTATATCTTTGGAGATAATGGTATGTCTGTGAAAAGAACTGTATGTCTAGGGAGATAACTGTATGTATATAGAGACAACTGCGTGTCTAGGGACATTAATTTTATGTCAAGGGAGATTGACTCTTTGGCGAGGGATATAACTGACTTTCCTGGGAAATAATTTTGTTTAGGGAGATAAAGTTTCTAGAGACAATAGTGATTTTAAAGTATAAAGTTTCTGTTAGACAAAAGTGATATTAAAGCAAAGAGTTTCTGTTAGACAAAAGTGATATTAAAGCAAAAAAGTTTCTGTGAGACAATAGTGATATTAAAGCAAAAAAGTTTCTGTGAGACGAGAGTGATATTTGATATCTTTAAACCTGCTCAGATGAAATATACCTG